TGACATAAAAAATTAACAGTTTAACCGTAAAACTTCAGAAGACCGTAACTTTTGACTCGGATATCCGAATAAGATAAAAAAAATTTTGATTCCACATAAATTTTTGAGATCTACGCAATGACATCTAATTTGATATATTTTATCTCTTACAAACACATTTCAAAAAAATCCTTCTTCCTTAGAGATTTATAATATTTATTTAATTATTTCCTTTATTAATACAAATTTTTCAAATTGATTTTTGATTTTAAATCACAAATCAAATATTTTTTTCCTTATTATTAATAATTTTTAGATTTTTTTAATTTAAATCACAAATCAAATCTTTATTTATTTTTTATATTAAATCACAAACCCAGAATTCGGAGGCTTCTGGGTTTAAACGCTCTTATAATACCATTATTGCAAATTTGAACTATGTTTATGAGAGATAAAATATGTCAAATGATGTGTCATTGCGTAGATCACAAAAAGTTTTGTGGAATCAAAATTTTTTTTACCTGATTTTGATACATGAGTCAAAAGTTATGGCTTTTCAAAATTTTACGGTTCGTAAATTGACTTTTTTGTGTCACGTGTCAACACCAAACGAGTCATGCCTAAATTAGGCGTGAATCCTTGTGAGTCACGCCTAACTTAGATGTGAATTGTCACGCATAATTTGAGCGTGAATGAGTACAATAGATCCGTAAATAGTTTTGAAACAACTATATATTCGTAATTATTTATTAAAATAGTAATATTTTAATTTTTTTTTGCCATCACTTAGCATATATGGTTTTTGCTTTCCTCAGCGTTTTGAATTTTTATACTCAATAACAGTTTTTATTTCAAAGATTTTGAACTTTTTTATGCTTTAACAAGGATCAATTTGATGGTAGTTCTGCGAATATTGGTGGAAGGTGTTTTTATTTTGAAAAATAAGAAAAGTAGTAATTTGAATAAGAATTTTATTCTACATAAGGGGATAAATAGTATGAAAAGGTGGAGACAAATTGAAATAATGATCTTATTTTTTTACTGGCTTAAAAAATAAGTACCCGACTATTGACTCAATTATGTACCCGAATAGTGTTTATATTATGGGAAATCATTCGAATTATGTACCTGAGTATCACCATGGATACTCGAGTATTCATCGCGGACTGGGTTTTTTAAAAACCCTCTCCTCCCTCAATTTTCCCCCTAACCAATACCTAGGTACAACTTGTTAGAGGATAAACCCTAGTCTTTCTTCCCCTCAATTTCATCCAGTTTTCCTTCAAATTTCACCGGCTATTTCACTCATTCCAGTGTCACGAACAACACAAATGTAAAATGTTCAATAAAAAAATGTAATTTAACAACTTACCACTACTAACTAGGTCAACATGAAGTGGTGATATAGTTGGGGAACTCAGGCTTATCGTATTCGTGTCAGCGTCAAAATCACCATCCACGTCAGTATTTGACAAATCACCTAGTGGAATAACACTCTCAGGTTCTCCTTTCTCAACGTTGTCCATATCCTCCTCCTCCTCATTCTCATCTCCCTCCCACAATGTTATATGACTTAACCCTTGTGTAGGTGCAAATAAATCGACAAATGTGTCTTCTTGACCAACATACTATGGAGTGCTTGTATGCATGGGTAAAGATAAACACTTACCAGAATTAACTTCAACATATATCTCAATAATTTTTTGGTTATCAAATGCATCTGTGACAAACTCTACATCTTCATCATCATTGATATCGTTACCAATGTAGCATATTGTATCTTTATCAACTAGAGTCTCTAACCAGGCTATCAAGCAATGAATACATTAGCTACCTTGTAACCCCATTTTTTGGTGAATTCTCTTCTTCAGTTTATTGTATGTGATGTCCCGTTTGATTTTTTATTTTTCCTTCAAATCGGATACCATTGAGACCTTCAATTTGCCTCCCATTGTGGTAGATAACTGCAGGATAAGTGTTTGAATTTGAGCTCATTTTTCAACATGAAATTTGGTCTAGGGTTTGGCTTGGATTTGGATTTTTTTGTAAAAAAATTGAATTTGTAAGTGTAATGACAATGATTTCACAAGATACAAGCTTTGGAAACCATGAGATAGAATACAAACTTGATGGCTTGGAATAGTGATGAGAAATGAGAAAGATTGCGGGGTAGAAAATGGGTGAGTGACAAATGAGGCCGAAACCCACTCATTTAAGGGTTTCTGGCTGACATATACTCTAGTATTGGGGGGTGGATACTCGAGTATTTATCCTGATACTCGAGTATCAAGGTACATACTCGGGTAAATAATTCAATAAATGATGAACTTCTTCAAGCAAGACAATATAGTCCAGTATATTGGTCAAATATACTCGAGTATATTTTATTTAGTGGCAGTTTAGTGTACTCGAGTATAATTTTTGATCAACGGTCAAATAGGGGTAGATTGATATTATGTTTAAGGAAAATGTCAAATATTTTAAATAGTTTATAAATGAGGACGAAGTTGTAATTTTTTATTAATCAAAAGGCAAATGGGTCAAATACCAGAATTGTACTATACTTATTTTTTTTTATAATTCATCAATTAAATTGTTATTTTGAAACTAGTACATGAAATAAACCCATTTTTTCCTTCTTTTTAAAAACTATCAAATTAAAATAATTAAAAGAACTAAACTCATTTTGTGAACTGAATTGTATTACACTTAAAAAAAATTGGTAATAATTCATGAACTAAGTTATTTTTTAAAATCAGTTCATGAACTAAATCGATTTTTTTTTTTTTTGTAATAATTTTTTCCTTCTTTAAAAACTATTGAAGTTTTTGTTATTTTTTTTTTGAAAATTTTCCAATTTTTTTAAATATCCTTTTGTTGCGTTCTTACCCTTATCATTTAGAAGTAAAGAGAAATTTAATATTACCAAAAAAAGATTAAAATTTAAATTAAAATAGGACTTACAAGAGCGCTCTTTTTTGAAAATGGATCCTCTTATGTTTTATTTAATATGACATGGACATGTGCACATACAAAGGTGAATCAATGGTTATGATTTTGTAACTACCTCTATTCCAATATTTTTTTCTATCTCCTCTCTTATAACCATTAATTCACCTTTGTATAGTGTTATGATTCCCATGACCATGTCATATTAAATAACACATGAGAGGATCCACTTTCGTCTTTTTTAAATATTCTTCAACAAATATAATTAATCTTTTATCAATAATCATCTTCAAAAAATAAACCTTGAATCTAAAAAAAGTTTTGAGTTAATATTTGAATCAAAAGGCATGTCAAGAAAGACTTACCAGAAATATTAGGTTTAAATATTGTCATTATCAACTGAATAGGAGCTAGGGGTGGCAAAATATATCGGCGGGTCGTGTCGTGTCAAATTTGATCCACGGTCAAATTGTCCAACCCGTACGTGACTTGTTTTTGTTTGCAGGTCAAAAATGAAACCTGGACACGACCCGCCACCGGTCAATGGTCACACGAGTTGATTCGCAAAAATTGATAATTTGATTTTTTCTAAAAATATTAAAAATTAAAAGGAAAAGATGAATAAAATATGCTGGTTGACCCGTGAACCGCAATGGAGTATGTAAAAATTACCAAAGTTTCAAAGAAATTTACAGGTCGACACACGAGTCAACCTGAGACATTTACCTAAACTTGCACACGATCCATTTATTCCATTGGTTGACACGACCCGTATTTTGACGAGTTGTGTTGAGGTGATGACACGTTTTGCCAACCCTAATAGGAGCTAATGAGTTGATTGTTTTTAATATTCTTCAACAAATATAATTAATCTTTTATCAATAATGATTTTCAAAAAGTAAACCTTGAATCGAAAAAAGTTTTGATTCAAATTTGACTCAAAAGGTATATAAAAAAACTTACGAGATATATTAGATTTAAGGGAGAGGTTATAGTTACAACCTTTTTTTTTACAACCTCTTACAACCATATATCATAATCGTTGATTTTCGCCGATCAACGGATATGATTTTCGCAAATTAAACTCATTAATTAATTATCAATTCATAATAAATGACAACCGTTGATTGGCGGAAATTAACGGTTATGATATATGGTTGTAAGAGGTTGTAAAAACAAATTTGTAAGTATAACCTTCCTCTAGATTTAAATATCAAAAGACACAATTTTTTTAAATCCATATCTAAATTAGGAAAACAAATTGGTTGGATTGAGATAAACCTAGAGTTTCATTTTGATTGTAACACTATCATTAATTCAATTATTAGATTGAGATAAACCTAGAGTTTCACTCTGATTGTGTAACACTATCATTCAATTATTATTATTATTATTATTATTATTATTATTATTATTATGTAATTTCTCAAGCTATTATTAGCATAGTTACTGAATAGAAATCAAATCTCACATCTCTGATAATCAGGATGTATTTAGCTGTAAAACAGAAAACATAACACTAAATTTTACAGCAAAAAAAAAAAAAAAAACTTCGAATGTTAATTTTTCTAATTTATATTAAGAGTGACTTTTAATTAAGTGTTAAATTTTGGTATATGAAAATTCAACAGCGTATTTTAAAAGTATTTCAGAAGAATATATATCCAACTCAATTTATTTAAAAATAAATTCAAATTTTAGGAGAGATGATAATGCCATTAAAAGATATAAAAAGATAATTATTTTCTGTTATATATTGCTATATATTACATAAATAATAAATTAAGATGTGTGGGGACCACACGTTAATCAAATATTCAAATTAAAGGTGTAAGATCAACTTAATTTCCATGCATGAAAAAGATTACAATGATATCCAAAAAAAAAAAAAAAAAGATTACAATGAAAAAATATACTTATTATCAAACTGCAGTTCAAGTTGTCTATCATATCATCAAACGTTATCTTATTTCTTGATAAACAAAGACTCTTTCTTTATATAATCTTGTTTTTCTTTTCTTTTTTCTCTCGTTCTGAAATATTTTCTCAACTTGTTCTCTGTTGTTTCTTCAATGGAGGGCAGAGGTTCTGGTATGTTCTGGAACGATAATTATCCCAACTCCTGCAGGGATGCTTGCACCTCTCAAAGCCATGCTTTTCTTGATTCTTCTGTTCAAAATCTTGATGCTCAAAACGGCACCGTTGAGAACCCTACCAACCCTTTTGTTGGAGTGGAAGCCATTGAGTCTGCTATGGAAGGACTTAACCTGTCCACGAATCCTTACATAAACGCTCATGGTTCAAGGTTGAGAGCTGCTGCAGTTAATGCCATTGCATGGAGAATAGGAGATTCATTTGATGATCATTACAGTTACAGGCTGGTGATGATGGAACAACAACCCTCACAATCACAATCACATTCACAACTTGAAGGTTTGAAGGGAAGGGTGGTTGCAATGGCAAAGGATCAATATGGATGTCGTTTTCTGCAGAGGAAGATTGATGTGGGGATACCTGAGGAAATTAGAATGATCCTCTCAGAACTGAAGGATTATTTGCATGAGCTAATGAAACACGAGTTTGGCAGTCACGTTATTCAAAAGATTTTTGAAGCAAGCAGAACTGTCACTGTGTATCAGATGGATACAATTTTTTTATTGATTATCTTAGATGTGCAGAAGCTGAAAGATGTGTGCATACACTATCTTGGGTACGTACCATTAGATTTAATATTTTTTATTTTCTCTTCAAATTTTAAATTTCTTTGTTGAATTTAGAATAAAGTATTTTTGACTCCTCAACCAATATCGTGGGCTCAATTTAATCTTTAAAAAAAAAAAAGTCTACTTATGGTGTCTCGTAAATTTAAAATAGATACATGTTAATCCTAATCCTTTGAGGGACTAAGGTAGATCTTATTTGAATTTCAGAAGGATCGCAATTTCAATTAACTGTATCTATTTTAAATTTCAAAAGAATCACGAGTAGAATTTTTTTACTAAGAAATTAAAATAGGCTTCATGATTTTTGTTGAGGACTAAAAGGTACTTTACTCTTGTATTTAATTTATGGAATTAACTGTTGCATATATACTTTCTAATTTTATTGGTATATATAGGAGTCGGGCTATGCTGAAAATACTGGTGAATGTCAAAACCCCAGAAAAGATATATGCATTTGTACTTGCTCTGAAGCGTATCACTCTCACATTGATGAAAACTGCCAATGGTGGTTATGTCATTCAGCACTGCGTGAAACTTTTCCCACCGGCATATCAAAAAGTAATGCACACAATAATAATATCCCATATTCTTGTGCTTCTTTTGATTACGTACATTGCATATATATGATACTGCGATTTGATAATTATTCTTACATTGAAAAAAAAAAAAAAAAAAAAAACTTGTTTAGATATATCCTAGCTAGAACGGCGACCAGAGATTTTAAGACTTTTTTCATCAATTAATCTTTAATTGACAATTTTCGTTCAGGTTATTTTGGATGAAGTAGCAAAGAATTGCATTAATATTGCAACAGATAAATACGGATCTCCTATTATTCAAAAATGTCTGGGCCATGTTGATCAGGGACAAGCTATATTTCTGCTGGTTAAAGAAATAATAGTCAATGCTGCAGTCTTAGCAGAAGATCAATATGGGTTTGACTTCCAACTCTTAAAAACTATATTGTTTATATGCATTTTACTTTTATATGTATTTAAAAGATCTGCTTAAGATTCACAGTGTAACTAACTATTTTTGTTGATAAGTGTCTACAAGTTCGGCTACTAACTCATTTTAAAATTTACTAATAAAGAATATTATGTTACTAGTAAGGTAGAAATAAGTTATTTTTCCCCCTCTTTTATATGTATGAGTATGAAACATTTTTGGGATTAATCTTGACATTATTTCTTTTAAAGAATGATAACAGAGTAGATTATTATAAAATCTTTCATCAATTTTCTCTATAGTTTGTACATTTATTTGAGTTTGGACGTTTCTTCATTTTCAAAACTCTAATATTTAATAACTCCTTTTCTTTTCTTTTTTTTATTTCCAAAGAAATTATGTGGTGCAGTTTTTAATTAAAATGAAGATACCTTCAGTAGATGCACTGATAATATCAAGACTTCGCGGTAAATATGTTCAACTATCTATGAACATGTTTGGCAGCCATGTGGTGGAAGTTCTGTTATATTTTTCTGAAGAGGAGTATGCTGCTATTATAATTTTTGAGATAATGGAAAGCCGCGAATTTTTTAATTTTCTTCAGGATCGTTATGGAAATTTTGTTGCTCAGTCAGCTCTGGAGTACTCCAAGGTTTTTTTAACTACTATATACATTTCTTGTTTTTCTTCTTCTTCATATTATGTGTGTTAATTTTCCCCCAGAATAAGAAGCTTAATTTTTACGAGAACTCTAATACGTTAATGGACCACCAGTTAGACTAGCTAGTTAGAAGGTCGTTAATTAAGTAGTTCTGTGTGTGTGCAGTTAGAGGCTAAAGGTTGTAAGGCAGTTCCATTCTTGGTTAACTTCGAATAGAAGTACCTCTAATGTATAAGACATGAAAAAAGTAATAATAAACTCATTAATTTTCTTTCCCCCTGATAGGAATTCCTCTCCTAATAAACTCCAATTATGTACAATGCTTTGGATGAGTGCCGGAAAAATAGAGTTTAATACAGAATACTAAATGATGGTAGCTCAGTCGTCGTGCCAGAAAACCGAGCAGGTTGGGGTGAGCATGTGTCTCCAATATTGTCTTTGGGAAGGGTTTAAAACTTTAATTCCGGAACCCGTTCCGAATCAGACAAATCGCATGGCATTGAACCGATTAGATTATCTTCAAAAAAAGAGAGAGTTTAATACAGAATAAGTGCTCTAGCTAGCATTCTTTAGTTTTTAATAATTGGCATCCTTTGTTTCTCTTCCTGCTTTATTATTTTACTAATAAAACTCTTCAAAATCGATATTAGGCAAAGAAGCATGCTATCTGTGAAAATCACTCTCAAATATATGCTTAATCTTTTTATCTTTTCTTTTTTCTGTTAATTGCAGGGCACTCTGCATCAAAGGCTTCGTAATATCATTTTATCCAATTGTAAACGTCTGCATAGTCATCTTTATGGGAAAAATGTGCTGGCAGTGGCCAAAAGATGCATGATTCATTAATAAGGGGATCACCTGTTTGGCTGTTTCGGAGCTTGGTTCATGCAGCTCGACATGTATTGTTAGTTTGTTGTGGATGGCATTGTGTCACCGTTTAACCATTTAATAATTTAGTGTTGTTATTGTGTTGTTTGGTTTGTTTCATTTGACTAGGGAATTGTTCCGTACTTATTCTGCGGAGATGTAGGGCCTCTTTGATTCCAGTTTTAGGAATAGTTTTTTTATTTTAAGAATAATTAATTAATAAATAAAAAACAGTCTTATGTAAGGAGTTCTGTAGTTTCTCTTTATTTGTTTTAAACTGAAATTAGAGAACAACTCGACATGTTTCTCTTTTGATTTTAAATTTTATTTTTCAAAAACATGTAAAATACGGAAAACAAAATATTTTCATTAATGTTACTTTGGAATTATGGAGCCATTGTGTTATTATGTGTTAAGAGTTTTACAAGCCTCAATCAAGAGCATCTCGAGAATTTTTCAATTCTTTACACAACACCTCTCATCACTTTTCTTTTATTTTTGGTTCAAGGTATATAATTATAAGGAAAATTTATTCTATGTAATATGAGATTAGTTTTTCTTCCTACATATCCTTCGATAACTGTGCAATTTTTTTTCTTTTTTTAATTTTTTCAGGTGGTGGTCCCACCACTATGTGTTTATGGAATGATATTCCGTCCCTCATATTACATGAGAATAGATAATTATATAAGCCAATTTACATGATGATTTATTTAGAAAATGGGAAGACAAAGATCCTATAAAATTAGAGGCTATGAAAGAAACTTTAAGTATCGAAGGAACAAGCTTCAATGATAATAACTTATCAAGGTTATCTAATGAAGGTCAAGCAGATATTGTGATCATATTACTATATTTTAGTTTGATGTGGACATAACAATATTTTATTTTAGTTTAGGGCTAACCGACTCTCTTGTTGCAGAAGAGTTGAGTCTTTGTTTGCCGCTGAAAAGACAGAGAAAATAAAGTATGAGAAAATAAATAGCAATACAGTTTTTGATGGCTCTATATGATAAAAACAAAATACTCTCTTGCAACAGGAGAGTCGATTAGCCATTTAGTTTATCTTATTTGACTTGTTAAATTATAGACTGAATATGTATATGTGCCGATTATTAGCACATTAAACTCTAACTTATGTTTGTACATGTATTATTTATAAAACATATTGATCTTTGATCGTATCTGCTTTAGTTTGTTATGTATTATAGTAACTTAGCAGATATCAACTTATATATTAATCTTATTAAATATCTATGATATACTGACACTTCAAAAAAATTGGTGTGTTGTGTCCGATACTCTCCCACACTCTACATTTCAACACGCATTGCAGAGACTCAAAAAAGAGTTTAAAAATTGTGGTGCGATTACGATTTTTAGATTCAATTATTAGATTTATTAAAATACGATTATCATTTTATTGAGTTTAATACAAATATTTGTGATATTTTATTTTTCTTTGCAAAACTGATGAGTATTACAAGTTGAACTTTATTTTTTGTTAAATTATTGAATATTAAATATAATATACACTACATAAATTAAAAATATTATTTAATATCAAAAATGTCCTAACATGTTAAAATTTAATCTTTTTAAAAATTAACATATCAAAATATCATGTCGTATCCCGTATCGATGTTGGTGCAACATAATTAAATATAGTAGTTTTAAAGAGTGTTTCGTTCTTGTCATGGAGTGTCTCAATCCTCTTACAAGGATGAAACCATTATTTCCGTATCGCTTCAAATTCAAAAAGTCGAAGAAAATAATATTATATTAATTCATAATTAACAGAGTTGATGATCAAAATTCATAACAACACCTAAACAAGGAAAATATTTATTATACTTCAGGATCATCCAATGATTTGGTGCTCCCTCTCACAATACTAAATTTTTTTTCCCTTTTTACTCCTGCTATTTTTCTTCTTTTCCAATTTTACCCTCTCATTTACACTAAGGGACCACCTAAAAAATAGTACTCTCGGTTCACCATAAATTCTCTCCTAAACAAGGCATGAAAAAATCGCTTATTCGTTTAGTCATAAAACAAATATTTTCATTGTTAATATTCATTGCTTTTTTAATATATTTATAGAAACATATGTTTATTTTCAATATACTTCTCACATTTTTATTTTTAGTCTATAAATAATAATTAAAATTCAATTTATCTTTTTCAACTTGTAATACGTTTTGCATTGATTTTAACAAAGATTTGTGACCTAAGAGTTGTTAATCGAATAGCGTTCCAATTAAATCTCAAAATTTGATTTGCCCAAATAGAGTTGTCAATTTCTGAGAGTCACAATTCATAAAGAGCACGAAGAAGCTCAAATTCAAAATCAAATTAACGAAGCTTGTTAGTGTGTGAGACCAAAAAAAAAAAAAAAACCAATTGTTTGTTTTGGTCTTTAAAATATATTCCATTAAAATAAATCTAATTAATCACGTAAAAATTAGTAATAAAAACTTCACCAATCAAATGAGTTTTTTTTATATATTCTTAGAATAAATTTACCAAACTGATTATTTTTTTCGTTTTTTAACTTTAAAAACTCTGTTCAAAACAAATTTATAAAACAAAAGAAAATCCGTTCTTATAAGTTTGGGGAAGTTTGGCTTGTTTTTGGAACAGCGCTTTGCCACATTTGTTAGATACCTCTGCCATCATTACTTTTCTAGCAGCTTTTCAGTACCACTTAACATTCATGAGTTTTGCTTTCTTCGGAAGTTTTTACTTTTTAGAGTCAAATTTTAAGAGTTTTTACTTTAAATATTTTAACATTTTTCCCTATTTTTTTTTTCTATTTTCTTTCTTCTTCCTCTACCAGCATTTGAACCTGGACCATTGTAGTGTTCTCCTCCAACATCTATCATATCGACCATGAATGCTAGTCCCTATGTTTTTGCTTTCGTGACACAATGATACTGGTCGGCTATTTTTTCTCAAAAAAAACAATGGGTGCAATGCAATACTTCCACGAATCCTGATCCTCTATACCATCTTTTCCACTACTTCCCTTCACGCAATTCTGCGGAGAATGTAATCTCCTTTGAAAGATTCAAATTCCAACAAACATATTTATTATTTAGAAATTACATAGCAGTTTATAGTTAGGAAGCATGAGACTGTAAAGAAATACTTGTAGTAATACTATAGCCATGGACCATTTGCAAAACACAGTAAGAATGTGTTTATCTCAAAACTTGTGCAAAAAATATTTTAACAAAAAAAGGATGATCTCAACAACAGTATTACCCTCTAATATAAGCACTAAATGTACTAGAACTGTATCTAGAGTCATGATGAATTCTTACAACATAGACAGACAAAGGTGCCCAAAGAGACATAAGTTTATAGTGTAACCTGGGAGCTCAGTCTTCAGGAGAGCAGCTGTATGAGTAAATCTCACCAAGAAATGCATGCTACTCTGAGTCTGACGAGTCTGCCTTTGTGCTCTGCCGAACACTTCTTTTGGTGTGCGCACTGGACCTTGCATGATTGATTGATGATTCACCTTCAAAAAAGATGACTTGAGCTTTAGCCAATCTTTCTTCCAGATCCTCTGTGCTAAAGTCATCAGTTCCACCAAGTTCATCAAAGCCCACCTAATAAACATACCATTATCTTATTCATGGTGCTAAAATTGAATAAATACTGAGCGAAAACCCTGTCAAACATAACATTTCTGGCCATATATATCAACTTCATAACCACATTCCTTGTATACTTACCACATAGTCATCCACCTTGGCATTCTTTATGAGGGCAAGAGTTGGAAGAACAATGATCTTGAGCTTCTCGGCCAAAAATGGACTTTTTTCCGCATTAATTTTTATAAATCGAGTCTCAACATGCTGCTTTGCCAACAAACTCAAATGCTTGTCCACAACCTGCAAATGAACTTTGAACGTGAATATTTCTCCTACAATAAATTCTTATGCTGAAAGAATATTAGTGTTCAGAAAACGCCAAATTACGAGCATTATTAGTTATTAGCACTCTTTGAATTGAAATTCACATTGGCACATGCAGCTGAGTCTAAGTTGCCAGTTCTCTATAATGATAAAAGCTTCACATTGTTTTTATGGTGTGATTGAAACAATGAGCAATCCAATACGCATGAAAAGGTTAATATATTTTCAAAACCAGTCAAAATGCAGTCATGGAATTCAAATTTTAAAGTGAAGTTTGGAAATTCTTCAAAAGGCAGAGAATAGCCTTTGCTTAGAAAGAAATTGTGTAGTTCGAACTGCAAATTACCCTCGTAAAGTAACTGATATGTTTCCAAATACCTAGATCCTCAAAGGAAATGAAAATATCTATCTTACTGCTGGCAAAAGCATACAGATAAATATCGGCACACTAGCTTTTTAAGTGTACCCTAACACTCTCACCATGCCCCAGTTATCAATTAAAATTTGCATATTAATAATTCATCTTCGGTCGAAATAAAATCACAGCGATAATATTCTCACAAAGTAAATCAGGCATTTGGAAAGTAAACTCTTTCTCCATAGTGAAGAGGACAAAAAACCAAAAAGAGGGCGATGAATCAATACGAGTACAATGTCATCGCGGCACACTAATTTTAATTTCAGTGAGCAAACATCTCCTGAAACTTTCAGAGACCAGATTCAAGAATTCAGCTTCTACAATTAATCAAAGTTTTTAATTGTAGCGAAGATCCAAAGCTCTTCAGCGGCATCATCAAGGTCACATTCCCTTCCTATTATTGCCTTGTCTTCTTTTTCATCCAGAAACAATTATGTAACTACAGTATAAAACTCGTATGATTGTTTTTTTTTTCTTTCCCAATTATGACGGATGAGCCAACATTCTCTAGGTTCCACGCAATCTTCTCAGAAATAAACTACATCATTCTCCGTATGTACATAATCACGATTTGCATTCAATTTCATATTTGCTGTCGAAATTCTCATAATCCGAAAATGACAGAGAAAAGAAAAACCTGATATTCCTGGTTCCATTCATATGCAGTGAAAAGCACGAGATTGTATGTACCTTACAAGGCCAATTTTCGCGGTAGAAATGGCAGACGACGCGTTCGCTGGCCTTGACGACGGAGAAGAAGTCTTTCTCGGAGGGAATCTCGAAGTATTCGCCGTGTCCGAGGGATATCCAACGGCTGCGCTTCTCCGCCATCTTCTTCATTTGTTGCAGCCTGCGCTCCCTGAGAACCTCGAGATCGTCGGTGTCGAGGCGTTCGAGGGCGGCGATCTCGTCATCGATCTGGTCCTCGACGGCCTGCGCCACCGTCAGCACTTGCTTCTGGATCACTTCTTCGATCTTTCCCTTGTCCATCTTTTCCAGTATCAGATCGCAACCTTCCTCTTTCCCTAAACTTCAAATCTCAACCGGGAAAGGATGATGCTAAAGGTTGGTAAATACGACGCCGTTTGACTTCGTTCTGGAGGATCACATGTCTTCGTCGTGTCATTTGAATTAATTCATCTAAGCCGCTCATTTTCACTAAAAAAATACATCGACGGTGTAAGACAGAAAAACATCTTAACTTTTTTAGGCCAGCTATCAAACCCTAGTGTATTACCATAAAAATTGAGGGCCGTTTGGATGTGGTTTGATTTTTTTTTTCTTCTTTAAAACTGTTTTTAAAAATAAATATTTGAAAACTGTTTTTGAAGATAGGAGAATAAAATTTGAATATAATTAGATAAATTTGAAAAACTTTAATTTTTATTTAAAAAGTACCATTAATCAACATTTATAATTACAAGACTGCTGCCACCAAACAATTTAAAATTATAAAAAAAAATTATGTAAAACAAATATAAAATTTTAAAAGTAGGATTTATTTACGGAAGTACTATTGATAGACCTGTATAATTATAAAATTATAATCGTAAAATAATAAAATCAAACATTGAATGTTGATTTCTGAAAGTTTTAGGAAGGAAATTATTTTTTAAATTTCTGTGCTTAAAATTAATTTCTGAAAAAAATAAGTATAAATACAACTTTTTTTATATTCAAAGAGAGAATGTGTTTAATAAACAGTTATTTTAATAAATAATGTGTATTTAAAGCTGGGGTGCATTCCTCTTTTAATGTTTGGTGGCTAGAAATGTATCATATTTATAGGTGCATGGTTCAATATCTTAAACAACCATCTCAATGAATGTTGCTCACCTCATTATTGATGAAGATTTTAGAAGAAGATATAGTGTTTCTCTACATCCTATATATAAACAAAAGAAACTATTTGTATTACCATAAAAAATTATCTGAAGACAAGTTTGAGAGTGAGACCTCTTTAGAAAAAAAATTTGTAATTATCATTGTTGGTAAAGTTTGAATCATTTGCAATTCTACTATATAATATAGTGAAAAAATTTCTAGATTACGTCTCGTGATTTCCCCCTCTATATTAGGGAGATATTTCACATTAAAATTTGTTATATTTTTCTCTCTGTCTCTCATCTTTTGCATCTTTCTATTTTATGTTTTTTCTTTTTTTTGGAAATAATAGGAAATTAAAACAAAAACACAACAAAAAGAAACTAGGCACAAAGCCTAGACCAGTGAACACCTATAGTGTCACCATACAGACTATCAATACAACCTGACGGTGGACAATCAAATTCCTGGATTACCCAAGAGAAACCATAAGAGTAAGAGGCTAGAAAGTCCGCTACTCTATTTCCTTCACGGTGAATGTGAGACATATAAATCTGCCAATCTCGCTGCATCAAATTTCGAATACGATTCACCAAATTAGCCGCAGGGTAATCATGGTGGCACCCATTTGTAATGAGCTATTGAGCTGAAAGAGAATCTCCTTCGAGCCAAACTTGCCTAAAACCTCTATCCCAAGCTAGCTCCAAACCAACCAAGCAAGCCCATAACTCAGCATGCAAAACTGTACCTGAGCCTAAATTTTTACAGAATCCGACGATCCAAGTTCCTGAGGCATCGCGAAAAACTCCTCCACACCCAGTCCTAGTACCATTAGCATCACATGCACCATCAACATTAAGCTTAACCCAATCCACATGAGGACAACACCAAGCAACCAATCTCTCTATTCGATTCCTTGGTTGATTGTCCGCTCCAAAAACAGGGTTAGCTGCAAGAGCGACACTATCTCTGAAACCAATTGCTGAACGGATAAGTGAATAAGCATTCTGGCGATCACCTTCAAAAACCCAAGAATTCCTACATTTCCAAATTTTCCAGGCTAAGATTCCAAATAAAAGAGGCCAGTCCGACCCCATCCCCCAATCCTTTGAGCTGTCTAAATTAGAAATGATCCAATTGTGCAGGTTGAGGTTGAAAAATTCACGCTGATTTATATGAGGCATTATCATGCACCATACTTCCTTTTTCTTATGTTAACCGACTGGTGCCGAGCGTTAAGCTTGAATTGCCAATCCATAAACTCCTTCAGCGTGAACTATTTAAAGAATCTCGTCCCAACATTTAACACTATCAATATAAGATTTTATAAGAGTTATGTTGTAGAAAAAGTAATTGTGTAATATTATAGAAATTTGTTTTGTGTGTCGTAATTTTCTTTTTTTCTTTTTTCTTCAAAAAGTGTGGGCCCACAAAATGTTGTGTGTAAGAAAATTTATTGTGTCATGTTAAATGACAGATGCAAACCCCAACAATATATTAGTCTATAACTCTATATCAATATTGAATATATAATATAACTGGACAAAAAATTATTTCTTATTTCTATTTGAGTTTCCGAGCAATCGGTTCCTTCTCACGAAAAAAAACATTTGTCAAACGCTTTTTTTATTCCCAGATTAAAATAAAGAAAAAAATATTTTTGGAAAGATTGTGATCCGTACAGGCTTACATTCTAAATTATTTTTTAATGGAAAAAGTATTTGTCATTTTAAATGACAGAAAGTTATATCATTTTAAGAGAGATAGACACATAATAAATTTTTTTATTTAAATTTTAAATTAAAAAAAAGCACTCACTTTCTCTCTCCCATGATTTTCATTTTTCGTGTCTATCTCTCCCCTAAAATGACATAACTTATGTCATTTAAAATGACAAATATCAAACCCTTTTTTAATTTAGTTTTAAAACTAATAAGCAAGTATTATTTTAACAGTATTTTCATTATATATCTAAATCAAATAATTTTTTTCCTAAAAACTAAAAAAATCCGTTTTTCATATCTTAAGTTTGCAAAGTGGTTATTCAAGTCTAAGTTTTTTTTTATGCTTACACTTTCGGGATTGTTTTTTATCTTCCTTTGCTTTTAATGATTATTAAGGTCTAACGTTAATTTCCTATTAAATATCATTGACATAAGTGATAAGGAGTTTGTGTCTGTTGATCAGAGGTCTTAAGTTTGAGCTTTATGAATGAAAAAAATAATCTTGGAAGAACTGCTTCTATATAAGATCCAGCACAATACTTGAATCGGACTCATCCTAATGATGTACCTTTTGAGGAGACTCAAAAGAGTGTTAATTTCCTAAGTTTTTTTAATGTTTTCTCTTTGGGGGGGGGGGGGGTTTTTACTGTTTCACCTGTATCTTTTTCTTTTTAATGGAATTATTGTTTCTCATATTAAAGGAGATAGTTTTATTTTATATGTACACACAAAAATATAGAAACTTATGTTTTATTTTTCTCTCTCTTCTCTTCACAGAGACTAACATAGACCCACACACTTTTATATGTGTAAGAAATAAAATTATTTTCTATAACATAAGAATCATTAATGTTTTTTTATTGTTGTCTTTTTTTTTTCTTTCGTGAAACGGTGGAAATTTGATTGCGCTAATGTGAAAATTAATTTGAAACTGACAGTATCTCTCAAAGTTCAAATATAATTACCTGAATTATTATATTTAGAATTTCAAACATTGTTAGTTTTAATGTTAATTTCCGCATTTATCAACTTTCACAAATGAAAAACAAAATACATAAATAATATATATATAGAGACAGGGGTAGGATCATTTGACACCAGTGTAAAATTTAAAATTTGACACCTCATCTGAGAGTCCTTAGACCAAAAAAGATCGATGGTATCGCATGCTTACAAATCAGAGTCGTTAATCTTTTTTCATCTAATGGCTCTCAGATGAGGTGTCAAATTTCAAATTCGACACTGGTGTCAAAGGATCCTATCTCATATATATATATATGTGTGTGTGTGTGTGTAGGATTAGGATCATTTTACATCCGTGTAAATTACACTCTCAATCTTGACCATTGATTCTAATAATGTAAGCCATTGGATACAAGTGGATCAATGCTCAAGATTGAGTGTAAGACTTCTAACTCTTACACCGGTGTAAGAATATCATGCCCTATGTATATATATATGTGCGTGTGTGTGAAATTATTTTTAATTTTTTAAAGAAAAATATTTGTCTTTTTAAAGGATGATTATTTTAATTATATAATATTTTTTATTTAAAATTTAAATTAAAAAAATGACTCACTTTCTTTCCATGATTTTCATTGCTTATTTTTTTTTCTCACTTAAAATGACACAACTCTATATCCTTTAAAAGGACAAATATCAAACCCTTTCTTTTATCAAATAAAGTTAATTTAATTTAAAATAATTATATAATACATAAGGTAAAAAAAACTTAAAAACATGAAACTATTTTATTTTAGGTTTTTGTTTTTCTACCGTTGCTACAAGAAAAAATTCTTGCAGCAACTTATTATAACTATGTATCACAGGTAGTATATAGTTATAATAAGAAAGCTGTTTTTTTTTTCTCCTCAGATTTTATTGGCTGACATGGCGGAAAATGAAAAAATAATTTTATCATTATAACTATGTACTACCCGTAATACATAGTTATATTAAGTTGTTGCAAGAATTTTTCCTTGAAACAACAACAGAAAACTATTTTCCTTTATTTTATCTATCAATCCATCTCGTCCTTTTGCAGAGTTCGACAATCCAGCTTCTGGTGGTCAAGCTTCCGACAATAGAAGCACTTCAATTCGTATCTCGGTCTTGACCGGCCTCTGGAAATATCACGTCCATTATGACCCCAACTCTTGCTTCGACCCTGGGAGTCGGACTTTCCTCTAGTCTGAGTGTATTTGCCTCGATCATGCTGGTTACACCTTGTTCTTTTTTCCTGGCTTCTTCATTCAGAAGGCTGCCAGTTACGGCATCCATTGTAACCTTTCCATTAGGAGCCGAATTACTCAATGTCACTATCAGCGTATCCCATCTTTCTGGTAGCGAGCTCAACAACAGCAAAACCTGCATCTCGTTATCAATCTTCATCTCGGCTTTGGACAGTTGTTTCATGATTCCTTTGTAAGCATTGAGGTGTTCGATCATATTCATGTCGTCCTTGTATTCCATCTTCATAAGTCGGCGAACCAGGTGTGCATCGTTCTTGGGAGTCTTTTTCTGAATTATGGACTCCAACTTTGTTCATAACTCGTATGCATTGGTGAACTCGACAACTTGATCAAAAAGGCTTTTGTCTATATATTTTCTGATCATGGCAACTGCTTTCCTATTCAGGATCTCCTATTCATTTGCATTCTTTCCTTCATGCATCTCAGCTTGGGTGATGGGCTCATATAAATCTTTGCAGTAAAGGTGGTCTTCCATCATCGGCCTTCAATATGTGAAGTTGTTAGCAGTCAGCTTAAACATGTCTTCATCATAGGCAACGTTACTAGTCTCCATCTCATCTCCTTTAGAACCCTTCCAACTCGGGCTCTGGTACCACTGTCAGGAACTCGATTCCATTAAGGTCGGCGCGGAAGCGTGTCACAAGTCAAACGTCGAGCTCGGAGCTCGGCACTCACAATCAGAGGTCGGCCCGAGTCACCAGACCGACCTGTACGCAGCAAAAACAAAAAAATGCAGGAGAGAGATAAAGATGAACACAATCAAGTTGTTTAACGTGGGAAAACCTTCTCTAATATCAAGAAATAAAAACTCACGTGACACTACTTCAGAATCAAACTTCCACTATGTGAATAATGGGTTTCAAAAGATCAAACTTACCAACAAATGGTGGTACACTCAAACCTTATCTTTAATGGTGGTACTCTCAAACCTCACCTTCAATGGTGGTATTCACTCAAACTTCTTTAGGGGGCGTTTGGTTGAGGAGAAATTTTTTGAATACTAGGGAAATGTAAATAATAGGGAAATGGTTGGAAATGAGTTTGGTAGGAAAATGTAAAAAAAGTTGTTTGGTTGAAAAAAAATTTACCGGGCAAATTAGATAAGATTTATAAAGTCTATGTTTGGTTTGAAATAAAATATAGATGGAAAATAAGTGACAATTACGAAAATATCCCTGTTTTTAAATTTTTTTAAATCATGTACCCTTTACCTTCTTTTTTTTGTAAGGCCAATCAAACTCTTACAAATAAAAGGCATACCATTCTCTGGCTCTTTGTTCTCCTTGTTAAGGTTTTCGCCATTGACGGAATTGGAGTGAGATTCAGCACTGTGATTAACTGTGAAGGAGTTGTGTTGAGGCTGTGTGGGGTCGTTCCTGGGTGAGTGATTGTCGGATTGGCGAAACGAAAGAGTGGGATTTGAAGAGGGTTTCGAATTGCAGAGAACCATTAGATTTCTTCAACCTCCCACAAAAACATACAATGTGGTGGCTGGAAGTCAAAGCATTGCAGAGATTCACTTTGACGCTAGTAGGTCAAGCAAGGGTAGTTTTGGCAGCAGCGATTTTCATGATTTTTATTTACCTGGTTATCCGTCGAATACCACCATGGAAATAGGATGTTAGTGCCTGAGTTTTGATCCAATTTTGCATGCAAACCTCAATGCTAGGCAAATCAGTTACATAGGCAAATTTTTGGATCCCCTCTACCAAACGTTGACAACTAACTTATCCATTTTCAGATGCCTATCAAAATTTTGAAATCTCCTCCACCAAACGCCCCCTTAAGGAGATCGAACAGTGAAGTTTTCTCCTAGTGGTGCTTTTAAATCTCTCTCGAAATTTTCTAACTCTAATTTCTCACAGACCATAAACTTATATAAGAGAGAAAGAAAAATTCTAAAATATCAAAAGTGAGATTAGTGTTTCTTGAACCCCTCAAAACACAACATTTAGCCTTGAACTGCATTAAAGGAGGAATGGCCCAACACGGATTTGTTATTTATTATATTATTATTGAACTGACGTCAGTGAAATGCAAAGCCTTGGATTATAATATTGTTTGTTTGCCACAGTTATACTGACATGTTACATGTCTGTAAGTGCGATGCGACACATCACGGTGCTTTAAATTTCGAACTAGGAATCGTACGGGAGAACCCTAGGTATTATTAATATGCAATCATGTTCATAAACTACTGTTTGTTTGTGTTTGCAAGTTGGAGAATAGGATAAAAGATCAGAAGTCAAAACTAAGACATAGATGTCAAATTTATTCCGCTTCAGATCTAACACCAAACAGACATTGGAAATTGGAATAACAAGAATCCAACATTGCTGACACAGATAACTCTAACCAACTCAGTTGGCACAAAACACACGTCCGCTTTCTCACTCACAAGCTCTTTATTTGAGTTCATAAATCAAGGACATTTGGGCTTGCCCTTTTTGTTAAGCTTGTCCCTGTAGCAAGGGCATTCATGCTTGTTCCCATATGTCCCAGAAGGAACACATTTGCACTCCGTGCAGCATATTCCACAGTACTTCAAGCACCTATCCCGAACTCCAGCCACTGAGCATCTGTCCGAGCACTTTTTGCTGCAATCGACTGCAATTAACAGGGAAAGAGCTAAGCTCAAAATATTCACTGAACCCCACAAAAACAAGAGACAAAATAGATATTATTTTAATTTAGAACAGTTACATAAAATCTTACATGGATCTTCATAAGCAATGGCTGGCTCCAAGAAACATGAGCTTAGAAGAAGGCAACAAAATAGCAGTGTGGCAAAGAGAAGCTTCATTTTTGTTTTTCTTACTTGTTGGAGAAAATATAGAACAGGAAAGAAAGGAAGCAAATGTAGGTAGGTGAAACTTTTCGGAGTGTCTTAAGAGGTTTGTGATTGAATTAGCAAAAGCATGTATTTATATTGATGAAGGCTTGAATAAGGTGACAACTTGGGAATAGGGCTTTACAAAAGTTAGAGACAAAAATAATATTTAAAGCAGAAGCATCAGTTGAGTTTCATGTTGGATACAATAAAGTATAAGAGAGTCGGTGGGTTGTTCCACCCAGGAAGAGACACCCAGCAATGGTTAAGGTTCTCAACCCACGAGTTTTCTGCGCCTACGAAGCCTTCTAGTGCCTTCCTTCCCCTTTGTCCGTTTGTGCTTGTTGCGTTGCTCTGTTTTTTTACTTCCTAGCTGTAAATAAATGAACATATTTACAGCTAGTGAGCAGTACTTGGCGGTTTGTTTTGGATTAGCTGGCCATTACGCTTAATAAAGCAATAAAAAATAGTTGACGACGGATGTCGCGTCACTAATGCATGCATTCATTTGCATACAGCTTATCCGTCTAATTTATCAGTAGTGGCATTGAAGCGTTTCAGAGGATTTTCGCCAACAAGAACTGTTCACCTATTGTGTTTTTGTCAACTGCAAAGACATCTAAAGCAGCCATTAGAATTGATATAATGATGAGATATTTGAATTATTTATATTAAGTTGTGTTTAATTTCCACTATTATATATATATAAAAAAAAAAAAAAACACCATACCTGTTTAACAGATGTAAATTTGCACTTAAACATTTGACTCACAAAAAAAAAAAAAAACATTTCTTTAACCAACTACTATTGATTCAAGTCACAAGTAGTTTGGAGAGAAAAATTAATGGATCCGACCACTGGATTAAATTGACTTCGATAAAATTAAAAAATAAATTTTTTTCCTTGAGGAGTTAAAAGAGAAGAAATGGTCAATTAATCTCCATTATTCATGTTAAAAAAAAAAAAAATCCCAGGGACCCTGGTTCAAAAGGAATTTTAACTAGCACGTGAGCGAATATTCAGCTTCATCATATTACCATTCAAAGTAGATTTTACAAACACAGGTGTGCGATAGCTACAACTATGGTGTCCTTACAGATGGTTTTTATTAACACTCATTGGATTTACATTATATTAAGCAAAGCTTAGCTTAATTACTTTTTATCCAAAATTATACTTTTTATCTATAAAACACCGACTGAAAATCAGCTCTACATAATACATACAAATCGTACATCAAGCACCCATACTGGGGGACGGACAAAGGCGCTGGTCATCAGAATCATCCTTGGCATGACCACCAGATGCCAGTAAGTTGACCTGCAAATATTAAAATAATAAAAAAAAATCACAATTTAAGAAATTTGCTCTCCTGCTTAGCACAGTTCGAATCGAATATTTCATCCCTCTCGTTTTGAGTCTTCCAATGTGAAAGGCATAATAAGACTGCAATTTTTTTCTCGTGTTTGGACGAAATAGAAATGAGCGAAAAATGAATAAGAGTATCATTTCAATGTATAATTGTGAAAGAAAATGAAGGGGAAAATCTCAGTTGTTGTATTAGTAATATATCTTTATTATATCTGTAAATCATATAAAATTTAATTTTGAATATAATAGAAACACTTTTTGCAAATTATATTAAAGATTATCTTCTGCAAATGAAAATAAAAAAAATTCCTAGAGAAACCTTTAAATCATATAACAACTTTTTGAATAAATTATAGTATACCATCCTATATTTAGTTCATTTTGTTAGAAAATCAGTTATACTTTCAATTGAAACAATTAAATTTAACACTATATTATTATAACAATTAAACATATATCTTAACTTTAAGACACATTTTTTTATTCCTCAACCCAACATTGGCCACCATCGCAGTCTTTGTCACCATCAGCGGTCGGTGGTGATAGTGGGTGGCGAGGCAGATGACCGGTGTGGGAATGAGGTTCTGTACATATTGGTTTTATAAAAAAGGACCCAAGTATAAGGAGGTAAGCTATAATTTAACCAAAAATTTGATTGACATTTTTTACGTATGGGATAAAGCAATAAGATTATAAAATGTTCAGTTCTAGAAAATGAAACTCAGTGGGACAAATTAATGATGTGGCTTTTACTCCCTCTATCAATAGTTTTGCCTCCATTTTCTTCCCAGAGTTGGTAGAATCGGAAAATAATTGGTCCCATTTCCTCAATTTCTTAACTATTCATTTTCTACTCTCAATCCAGACAAGTAAAGGAAAACTGAGAGATCAATGAACATATCATTGAGATTGTCGTGCTATAGAATAACGCATATAAGAAAATATGGTACAAACCTTGACAATTTCAGACTTGGATCCTGGCCGCATGTAAGCTGCTAACACACTCAAATTGAAATCCTGCATATAACATCATTTGAAAGAAACGAGAATTCAAATTAAATAAAGACCACCGTGTTCCTATTCATAATGTTTGAAATTAGAAAAAATTGTTTCCGTATACCGGGGATAATATTAAATTCTTAATATCTCTTTATAATCAGTTTTTAATTTCTTTTATTAGGGGAGATTTATTTCCTTATTTAATCCGTAATTCACAATTCATATTTTTTTACTCTTTAATACATAATAACAAGCGAAAAATAATGTAAATACATCATGCTGGAGAAATGAAATGTTCATGAAGATACAAATATAAAATAACTATTTCCTGCCTTTCAGCAAAGCATTTACAACATATAGGTATCCAACCTAGACAGTTTAATTATGTCGAGTTCAATCCCGGAAAATTAATGGAAAAGCTGTAATACATCACCAAAGAGAAAGCAAGCAACTACAACCTCCACATTTTTTTTGGCGAAAAAAAGAAGTAATTGACATGCATAAATTAATCAGAATAGCTATTTCAATTTTCATGCCATGAATGGATTTTTAGTGACAGAAAACTTTTATGTCACTTGCAAAGAAAACAACAAAAATGAAATAGAGAAAGAAAAATCATAAATTTTCCAAAATGATAGTGAAAGACATTTAACCATAAAAAGCCCCCACGTTGTTCACCTCCCCTGTAAGCCTGCTAACTAGGATTGCCTTTTCTTTTTGCTTAGAGAAGGCTGGGATAAGCTGAAAAGAACTTACCCTGAAAGGATCACCCCTCAAAGATTGAACAAACATGGAACTTCCTAAGCTTCTTCCCTGGACAGAAGTAAACAAGTTAATACAATGGAACAACGATTCAATGAAATGAAAGCACAATAATCAGATATCAGTTATTTGTGTTCCTTTCTAAGCTGGCTTTTTAGACATCACTTTTTGATAGAAAAATATGGGAGGGAATATAAACGTACAGGTAAGGTTGAAAAGTGCAGACTAGCTTAAAATAGGGGACAGTCCTATCATATAATTAAATATTTCCTTTATATTCTGTTTGAAGGTATGCAATAAGCAATTTACTCTCTCTCTCTCTCTCTCTCTCTCTCTCTCTCTCATTATGCAGATTTATTACAAAAATCTCATCCAGCAAGTAAAGCACGTCAATTAGATGATTGATGTACCTCCAGGGATATATCTCTCAGGCGCCTCCCTGTTTGAGCACAGCAAACACGGACAACGTGTTCATCACAACTCCCACTTATAATGTAGTCCCTCCCATTCAAGTAATAAGAACGGGTGTAATTTTGAGAACTTCCAGTGGAAGCTATATCAAAAACCAAATGAAGCCTACCGTCGACAGCCTGAAGTTGTTTAACCTGACAAGATTTACATGTTAGTGTGGACACTAACAATGTGTTTGTCAGGATAAAATTTGCCAAACAAAGAGAAAGACAAGCAAGTAGGCAATCAACTGAAATACCGTACATAGATAACACAAATCTGATGGAAATTGTTACTGGCTTTAAATCTGAATCAGATTTCGCAGGCGTGCATGGCCTATACCATTAATTGTACTTTGCATGCACTGACCAGTAACTAATCACACTACAAAGTAAAAATTACCTCATTATCAACTGCTGATGCAAGAATATATTGGTCATCTGGAGAAAAGCAAACCATCACATTTCCTCTAGAGCTTGAAGCAGTGAAGCAAGGGTGTATGGGTTTCTGTCTCAAGTCCCACATCTTGACATCCTGATCAAATGATGAAGTGGCAAAAATTGACGGGGAATGATTTGCAAACTTGACTACATTAATATGCCCATGATGCATATCTGTGAACACTTCTAAGCGCTTTCCACTGTTGATGTCATACAAAGCAACATTTCTTGAGTAACCACTTGCGAGAAATAGTTCATCCGTAGAGTTAACATGAACAGATGTCAACTGGTCAAATTCATCAAAGGTAACACAACTAGAATTCCCATATATGCCAGTAATTTTTTTTGGTGTATGGCGGATGTCATACAATTTCAAGGAACCATTGTCTGAACCTGCTATAAGCTGGCATGCAACAAGGAAAAAAGAACAGCATCAGAAATTGCCATTCAAACAAAATCACTGGAGGAGCAAATGCTCTAAAACTAACTATAAAGAATGGAATACTCCACTGAATTAATGCCTTTCTTAGATAAATAATCTTTCTAGTCATTCTGATAATGGTAACTAAATACAAATTATCCTTACAGCTAGCAAGGCTGTACTATTATTCATGCAGAAAATCACAGCATGCCATATCTCTCTCTTTAAAACCACTTTGGCCTCTACAAGGCTATGTGTGACAAACAACCGATTCTGTTAGTTGATGTAGCTTTCTGGGACAATCACTTCAATAATTTCCGATATATATAGCTGCTAGTATTCACTGAATAAGTTAATAACCACGGTAAATATGATTGCTATAGATCACTTCTCTTGGAACAAGCACATACCTTAGAGGGATATTTCTTGAGCCAACAGAGACCCAAGACACTATTCATTGCTCCAAGTGATGGGATATAACTCACAATATGTTCATTCTCATGGTTAATGACAACTACTTCACCATCTAAGGTTCCAAAAACCATCAAGCTGGAGTCAGATGGATGGTACTCAAACTGCCTTGGACGAAAGCCCTTATCCAATTCACATCCTAATATAGAAAGGGGATGCAAGAAAGGCCAAGTTGAAGACCCCATTTTAGCAGCAGAAAGAGACCTAGTGTACAAATATTGGGACTTTCCAGAAGGATATGATGGCCTACACTTAGAAGATCGCGCCTTAATGTGGCCTGATTTTATTTCTCGCTTCTGTAAGATATTCACAACACTCTCTTTGTGCTTCCATCTGTATGGAAGATATTCAAAGTATTGAGAAAATATTCCAGTAGCTCTTTCCTTGTCAATCTTTCTGATGTGCACATTATCTAAAATTTTCAGATTTGGTAATGAAGCTATCATGAATTCTCTGTAATGTTTCTCATAGCATATCGGTGATGCATGGCGAGACATATACTTCATAGAAATATCAGCAATATGCCCAGTAAAGGTACCTTGCAATGACTCTTTCATCTCTTCATTCTGTAATGTTAACTGCCAAAATTAAAGATCAAGAACGATTTGGAAGTTACAACTCGGATAATATGGACATAAGAAATCATATATTAACATGAATCACTTCTACGCAATTTAATTGTAAGCATTTCACAAATAGAGTCATTTACTAAACTTTCAAAAAAGCAAAGTGATCATGAAAACAAAGAGGAAGTTCACATAATAGAAAACCATAATTCTTATAATTAATATGACTATTTCAGTATCCAAGCTATAATCATTACCACAACTACATAGTATTTTATAAAATAATTAAAAGGATATAAGATGCAAGCTGATGCCATAACCTCAAAACTACAATGATCGTGATTCTTTTAGAATACAATCTTTACACAAATTAATAGCATAATATTTACAATAGCCTACAACAATGAACAATAACTTAGTGAGAGAGATTAGCCATTATTGTTCTGCTATTGAGACCACTCTAGAGGAAATCTAGATTGGAAGGGAAGCCAAATTGACTACCTCATTCTGAAGAGGCACTTGGAAATTCCACCCAGGAAAAACATCTGACAACCAGTATCTATGATTAAGACTAGTAAAGTCAACTTCACTATCATCTGATGAATCCTCAACCATGCTTTGAACATCGTGATTACTAACTTCTTCATCGAAAGAATAAAAATTTCTCAGTGGATCTTCGACACTAAAGTTGGGATCTGTCAGTTCCCTTGTATCAGTGGAGGACTCACCAATAAAAGGAACGCTATTAAGTAGACTAAAATCAGCATTACCATCTGATTTCCCACAGGGTGAGATATTATATGTCTCAGGGTCAGCATCATTACAATACTGCCAATATTGAAACCTTAGTTCAACCAAAGAAGGAAGCTTAGAGAGAGCAGCAACAGTTGTCCATAGATTTGTAATCCGTGTGTCACACATTGAGAGGCACATTAGATTGGGCATGCAATTAAAACAGTCCTCTTGGAAACTCATAAGGGTAGAACTAAAATCAAGATTAAGGGTGTGCATATGCATGAACTCCCCTATCAAGTTCAGCTTCTGGAAACGTGAAGACTTCAATGTCAAAACTTGGCATGCCAAACCTCTTCGTGAGATATCCCTGATGAAAACCCAACATTAGTCATGAAAAGCAACATATGCAACAAAAATCTAAAACTTCAGAAAGTGATTCCATTGAGGCAAATTCTCCCTATAATGAATGAACCATCCATGTTTTAGACTTTTAGGTAAACAACTAAACAACTCAGTGTATATCATCATTAAGAATGAAGCACCACATGTAATTACGTTAATTGGCTACTATAAAGGCCACAGGTAATTGTTAGTAACAAAAGACCCAGTATAAAGACGATAATTTCACACCCAATTGATATAAAAGAACCTTGCACAGATTTTCATCTAATTGTGTAAAAACCCAACTCTCATATTTAGTAGAATGAAGATTGTTGATTATTCTGACTTGCCAGAATTCCAAAGGCTAGAAATTCCATATTACAATCTCAAATTTGCTGAAAACGTAAGAATAAAGGCAACTAAACAAACAGAAATTACATCATTTATACAAAGATAATCCACAGCAAGCACCATAATATACCGTAGGAAGTCTTTTCCAAATGACAGATCCTGTAGATCAACTACTTGAAGCTTTTGATTAATAGCACGCATCAATGATAATGCATATTCTCCATTTAATACACATGATGATTCGCTACGTACATCAACGGCTTCTATTTCAGAAGTATCAAGGTTCATGCATACATCAAGAAGTGGAGCAAAATCAATATCCTTAAGGTCATCAAGTATGATCTCGAGGCTGCACAGCTCTTGGCAGGACTTTTTGACCTCAGCCTGCATGATCATGGTCAGGTTTAGTTTCTTACTCCATGACAAGGATAAAGTAGAAAATGGAATATAGTCACCACACCCTGCGAACGGAGAGTCAATACACACACGCCCCAAAAAAGAAAAAAAAAACTGGAGTAAAAGAGAGGGGAAAAAACTGTATACTGTATATAACAGTGAAAAATTGGTTGAGACCAAAGTTTGATGCAAGTGTCCTCATTTACTGCATTTACAAGGAAACACTAGCAAAGCTGTACATATGAAAACAAAGAAATTGAAATAGTTTCCAGTGCTTTAGCAGCAAATCGGGTGCTGGAAACAAACAACAGACCTTGAAAAAGCTTGACAAAATAGCAGTATTAGGCAAAACGCCATGTCTCCTGCAAGAATCAATATACCTAGAACCAAAACCAATATTAGGTAATTAGAATGGAGTCAAAAATACACAGAAATACAAACAAGGCAAACAGTGATTTAATTAGCAACTGGGGAAACTATCAAAACTTTGGTCAAAGAATTTAATCAAACAGCCTGTGCGTATACAAGCTTGTTTCCCATTGTTCATCTCTTTCTTTACCACCCAAAAATCCTGATTCAACAACACAATGCAAAGGGAGAAGCAGTGAATTCACCAACTGTTCAAGGCAGGATTGACAACAAGGACGACAAAAAAAAAAAAAAAAAAAAACCTATAAGCCAAAGAAATGACAACAAACTACGCATGCTGAACCTCAGCCACATGAAAATTCAGTATCCTTATGTAAGGAAATTCCCATAATTTCCCCAAAGAGTAACAACTACACAAAACTTGCGTTGTGAACATCAAGTTTACTCGATTCCAGCAAGCAACATCCAATTCCATGGTAATTAAGAGCGAATGACTGAAACTAACCACCAGCCACGTTTTATATAACAAAAAGCAATCCAAAAATAACAAAAGAGATAGAGAGACAAACACAAGGATAACAGCGCATTTTCATTTTGAGTTGATGAAGTGTACCTGTCTTCCAAGGTTTGGATGTCGACGGCCATGGCGATCGAACTTCGCACCAAGTGATTGGAAAAACTCTCCGATCAACAGTTTCAGAAACCAAAGCGGAAAACGTGAATGAACAACCCAAAAGGGATGAATAAGACCATGTCATAATGTAAAGCACGGATTAAGATACAAACAGTTTAGTTTTTTTTTTTTTTTTTTTTTTCTTTTTCTTCCCGTCCGACTGATTCTTCTTCTTTTCGTCGTTGATTTTAACTTTGGGCCTATAAATGGGACCCTTTTGGGATAGTCCAAGCCCAGTATAAGAAAAGAGTAGCACCGGCGCGGTGAGTTCAAGCAAGCCCAATATTCAAGACCATTTAGAAAGAGATGAAGTCCGGTTAAAAATGAAGTAGCAGAAGAGTGTTTCTTTTTTTCTTTTTTCTTTTTTCTTTTTTTTTTTTAGATATTTCAATTGATTCATCGTTTTGCGACTAGTCTGATTCGAGACAGGTTGGGAATTAAAGATTTATATCCTTTTCAAAGATGATACTGAAAAATATCAAACACATGCTCTCACTCTCAACTGCTCAGTTCTCTAAGCTTCAATTGAGTTATCATTATTTGGCTGTGTTTTTTTTTTGAACAAAATGTTAAGTGTTTATCTCATTCACACATATATATATATATATAGTGAAGATGAAATTTTGAACCATTACAATTGGTTTTATCAGTTCAGCCGAATAACATTATTTTTCTTTTCAATTTCAATTTTGATGGGATTATAAGAATAAATAGCTTCTAAGGACAAAATGGGTGATTAGGCTTTGCCAAATTAGTGCTACTCAAAGTGGGAACTTGGCCACGCAAGTGAGTTGACTTTTTCTTTTTAAAAATAAAAATAAAAATGGCCCTTTGTATGTTTTTAAATTTATGTGAAGAACAGTTTTAAGTTCAACTTAATGCTAAGGGTCATCTATTTCAACAACCAAATAGAAGAAACTATGTGAAAAGGTTATCAAAATGTCAAATAAAGCGGCAGATGTAGTAGCTATAATTAGATGATCTTTATAAAGAATTTAAATTAAAATATTATTAAAAAAACAAAGTAAGGTAAGGTGCAAAAATATCGAGTTACTATCCTTCTATTTCCCCAAGCCATCATTGAATGCGAGATTAAATCTTTCAAGTCCAAATACCAAATCCGTCACTCAAAAACCCAACCATGTTGCCCCTCACTTTCTTCTTATCATACTTGACAGCTACACATCTTAAGAAAAAATAAATAAATAAATAAATATATATATATAGGATCCTTTGACATCAGTGTCAAATTTTAAATTTGACACCTCATCTGAGAGCCGTTAGATTAAAAAAGATCAATGGTGTCACATGCTTAAAAATCAGAGTCGTTATCTTTTTTATTTAACGGCTCTCAAATGAGGTGTCAAATTTAAAATTTGACACTGGTGTCAAAGGATCCTGTCTCATATATATATATATATATATGTGTGTGTGTGTGTGGGGTAGAAATATTCGGATGTGATAAGTCTCGTATTAATTGAATAATAGGTTAAGTGAAATATATATAAGTGAGAGGATCCATGAATCCTAATATCTTTATATTTGAGATTATAACATGATGTCAGACTTAATTAATATGATAATATAGCCTTAACGGTAGTTGTGTCTTATTATTAAAAAGGAGAGGAAAAAGTTGACCACCTCCACTTTTAAGTCAGGTCTTTTCTTCGTGATCTTGTTTTTCCTCTTCTTCTAAGATTAGTTGTAAAGCTGAGCCCACAACTGATTACTCACACCCATCAAGAAGATGACCCAGTTTAACCACATTCTCACGAGAAGGTGCTCATCTCTGATCCCTCTATGTCATGATATTTTTCTTTTTGAGCATAAATCTGTGCTGCACGTGCTGTGGCGCGTAAAGAGGAAGGTTGCTGGCAAGACCATAGAAAGTAGCATATGGTTTTGGGACCCAAAGACAAGAGAACCTGCTTTAATGTATCCGCCAATTCATAAATTATTAGGCTACCCTGATACAAAGCACAAATAGAAGAACGTGGTTGTTTTTTTGCTGTTCTAGTCAAAACAAGAAACATAGTAGCAACAAATGGGAAAGAATATTTAACATGGCAGTTTGAACTTTGAAGAACTAATTAATAGCGGCCATCTCATCAACGAGGAGGGAGTGACAACATGCATTTGAAAAAGGAAAAAGAGAAGAAAAAATTAAGAGTATAATGAGTGACTACTAGCATGTGGAAGTTTTTCCGGATATTTACTGCTAACAGATACTTAAGAAACGTCCATCACAAGATGCCTTGAGAAAAATCCTCATTTGCCAGCTTAGATCCTGCTATAAGGATATAGCCATACCTACTGAATTTACAATTCACGTGCACTTCTTCAACATAATTTTACTAGGTAATGATTGTTGGATATATAGCATGATAGTATGTGATGTGTACATTATTTAAACTGTTTTTTTTTTAAAAAAAAATTATTACAACCGAACAATTCATAAGTTTAATATTTTGTTATTACCTAACTTACAACACAATCTATAAATTGAATTAAATATATGTAAAAAAGGGCAAATTTCAATGCATATAGACTGATTTTGCAACAATATAATATTAAGAACGATGATCGATTATGCTAACTGTTATGCCTCCAGCATATAGAGGTTTCTAGGATAAAAAGAGCAAGGATTTGATATGAATTCAGTTATAAACATTGTTATTTAATAGAATTATTGATAATCCACTCTCAAACACACTTTTATTGAAATTGTACATTTTGCAAGAGAAAACTCCATAAAAGAATGAGGATTCAAATCCTTCGGTCCACTGGCGCGGATAGCGCAATGTTGGCACAGATCGCGCCACAAAGAAAGAATTAATTGGAACCCCATTGCCTTCCGGCGCGATTCGCGCGACACTGGCGCAGATAGCGTCGTCAAAGATAAAATGTAGCCTCCCTCACTGTCTTTCAGCGCGAATCCGCGCGGAAGTGGCGCGGTTCGCGCGGATGCCATGCGTGCAATATCTTAGTGATTGAAATTTTATAAAAAGGAGAGTCTAAATCAAATATTTGATAAAGATATTGCGGGATTTGAATTCTTTCCTTTAAATAAGGGAGTAAAAACCCTTAGAAGTATCTTTTGGCAGAAGGGAAATTGCAGAAAACACAACGGAGAGGGAGCTTTTGGAGATTTATGCTGAAGATCGATCACACTCAGAGAAACTGAAGACTAAAGATTCTTCTTCGTCTTCTTCTTCTTTTCCATTCTTTCATGAATTCTTTTTATTTTGAATTGCTAAAGTCAGATATGTCTAGCTGATTTCTCTTTGTAGTTGGGATCACGGATCCAATGTGAATCTTTTATAGTTTTTAAAGTATTTTTATAATTGTTTTAATTTAATTAGTTTTATTCTACCTGAAAGAATTTTTCCTTATCCTTTTTAGAATTGATCACTCTATTATAGGGTTTTGAAGATTAGAGCTCACAATAGGAATATTGAGATTTTAATTCCGACAAGGGTAGAATAACAATCTGTGCATAATCTAGACATAGGTTTACTTAGATTGCAGACTGTTAAATTCATCTGCTTAATATTTGATTCAAGAGGAATTACGAGGACACTAGGATTCTAATTGGGTTAAAAGGTTGAATACGCTAAGACATTAGGGTTCAACTACTTAATAAGGAATAGATGGATTGTCTGAGCTAATGAATTAATTGATTATGAAATTTATTTAGAACTATAAAGGAGGATCGAAGGTGAAGTGTGCATTCTGACTGCAGTTTCTTTATATTATTTACTTATACCTTCTTTGACGTTCTTGATTATTTCTTGAATGTTTTTGATTATTATTGTCTTTAAATTTCAGTCAACAATTACTTTTTTTGGAAATACAATGAAAACTAAAGCAACATCAAAAAAAGCCCTATACTAGGCACAATCTTGGGAGACTAACTCCCCTCAAGTCATTACGAAGCAATTCCAAACAAGCCGTTGGAGGGACATCCAGCACAATCAGCTGTCCATCCTGATGAGGTGCATGAGTAGCAAGCCAATCAGCAACAAAATTGCCTTCTCTATAAGTATGACTAAGCTGAATAATCCAGTCTCTTTGAAGCATGCTACGAGCTCGGATGATTAAAGCAGAAAGAGGATGACTTACGTCACACCCTTTTCTTATAAATTCCAAAGCCACCTTGGAGTCACACTCCACAAAGACTCTCATAAATCCCTTATGCCAAGTCAGATCCATACCTATCAAGAACCCCCAAATTTCCGCTGAAGTAGAAGTACCACTCCCAAGGAATTTTGTAAAACCAGTTAACCAGTTCCCAGCAGCATCCCTTATGACTCCACCACATGCAGTCCTTTGCCCACTGTCTATACTGGAATCATCCACATTAAGTTTAACATAACCCTCAGAGGGAAAATTCCAGTGAATAAGACGTTCCTCTCTTCTAAGCTCCTGATGACCAATCTTAATAAGGGTTTCATTAGCCAATTGAATATTACCACAAGTATAGGTAATGCGCCTAATGAGACCATACTTCGAGGTGATAGTTTGATCAAAGATCGCCTTATTTCTTTTCCCCCACAAACACCAAGCTATCACCCCAAAATACAAAGGGACTAGTTAGAATAACCTTAAACTGAGTTTTTCAAATTAAAGGGACTAGTTAGAATAATAATTGGTGCATTAATCCTCGTGGGAACGATATTTTCTTATCACTTTATTACTTGGAACGATCGGTATACTTGTCGATTTCACAACACTAACCTTAAATTTACATTTAAAAAAAATAGTTTATGCTGTAACAAAAAATCAACCCTACTGTTGTTCCAATGCTGGTCCTCTAAATAAAAGTAATTATATATAAGTTGCATAATATTTGCCATGCATTCTACCAACTTTGTAGCTAGCATTCGGAAGTCAATTAATGGCCAACAATGGTTGGTACTTGGTACAACTCTCATTGTGCTAGTTCCATCCTACGCCTATAATTAGGTCTCGAACCAATATAATGTTATTGTCACAAAAAGAGTAAACCTTTTATTAATTATTAAACTATCAGATCTTGGGGTAGATAATTATTTAAGT